ATGTCAGCTACAGGTGGCTGACGCGAAGATGTCCACTTCGGACCATGTCAGCCACCGTTCGCTGACGGGCTTTGAATGGAATTTTTGAAAACAAAAAGAGCTCTTCGAGAGATTTTCTTTGCTGTGAAGAATCTTCATACCCTCTTCTATCTAGACCACCCCTGGGCAGAGGAAATTCTATACACTAGAGCTTTATTGAAGAAAAAATATCCTGACTTCAAAATTTCACCGAAAAAGTTGAAAATTTTTTTCCGCTGAAACTTTTCCCATGGGGGTTTTCGAGGGTCCTGATCTCAAATATGATATCCATTTTTGGCGCTGGCGCCAAATTGGCGCCATTTGGCGCCAGCTCCAGAAATGGATCCCATAATCGTGATCAGGACCCTTGATAACCCATGTGAGGAGGAGTTTCAGCGTGAAATCCATCTTGTTTTTTTTAGTTTTTTTCCTATATATCATCTGTAGTTCACGCTGAAACAGCGCAATTGCCTCTGCCGGCGCTGGTCCGAACGGGCAGTCTTAGAAAATCCCGCCCGGTCGCGAGTGGGTTAACAATGTCAAATTACAAATGAATGCATTCGAATAAGCAAATCTATGGGGTACTTAGCATTGTCCAGCATTCAGTAACGCCTTCAAACGATCCTGAGCATCACCGTCTGCCCAGAAGGAATCTTCATCATCATGCATACAGTATGCTCCTGATTCGTGGAAACCGGATGGACATTGTGAGACTGAAAATGGCATGAAATAGATGAAAAGTGATAAGATTTACACGTCACTCACAGCATCGTCCATACAGCAATTGTCCGTCACGGCACTGGCACTGTGCAACGTTTTTGTCACTTTTCATCCTTTCACAGTATGTATTAGCACAACGAGATGTGCACTCTTCGTCAGTACTGCATCCGTATTCGCCTGGCCAAAGTTTCCTGAACAAAAGGATTTCTGGAATCATCTGCCTGGCGTATGTGAAATGATGTTGATTTTTTCCAAACTCACATTCTGCATTCACCGTTGATGCACTTTTCATTGGGGAGGCATGTGCTGTCGGGATCGAAACCCAACTCGGTAGCATTCGCAACACATTTCCGTTCACTGGCCACATTGAAGAATACTAGAGAATTGAAATGAGCGTGAACTTAAGCGCCACAGTAAAGAATTGTTCACTGGCGCGTTGACTGAAATACAGAAGAGCTGCGATTGGTGGTTGGCAAGCACTTACCAATCACAGCCCTTTCGACTGTATGCTGGCCACCAACCACAGCCTATTCATGTGCAAGACTTTGACGCACGACGCTTTTGCCTGTGATTCATAACCACCAGAGCCGGCAAAGTGGAGGGACTTACATGGTGTTTCCGTGATATTGCCTACAGGAGCAATGATCGGTCGTCGACGAGCCGTCGACAGCAGTACAGTGCAAGGTGAACCGTACTGATCGCAACCGTTTCTAGCCAGTGTAAGCACTTTTGGTGGCATTTGGAGACAGTTGGCGCCATTCGATGCCGCGCCATTGACGCACGAACACACTCCTTGCATGCATTGAGCGCACGAAGACGAATAGCCATTGCACTGAGTTGATGTTTGACATTGGGAACCGGGGATCTGATTGAAGAGTGCCACTGCTGTAAATAGAAAAATCAGCGACTGGTGGAGAAAAATCACCCACTGGTGGAGTTCATAGATAAAACTGCGCTAAAGACTATACAGGCACGGCCCGTGCTTAAATTTATGTGATTTTTGTACTCTCCCTGTCAAAAAACGAGAAGAGCGTCGGGTGCAGACCATACACCACAAGTGACGACGGCCTCCAAGTAAATCTGGTTAGTAGTGGTTCATAGTGATAGCTGATTTTGGTAAATGATAGTTGTAATTAGTGACAACTGATAGAATACAACTGCAACAGGCTAATCATTTCATTGGCAGAAAAAACATTTACATTTTGTGAAGGCCGTCGTCACTTGTGGTGCATGGTCTGCACCCGACGCTCTTCTCGTATTTTGAGGGGGAGGGTACACGAATCAAAGCACAGGCGCCCTAGAACGGCGAATAAGGAAAGAAAATAATCATCCCAAAATTTTTTGAGGCAGGCAGAAACCATAGGTGAGAGAGGAGAACAAAGACACCTCGCTAATGTTCCGTTACACCGTGAAAAACTTTGAAATCTCACGGAAACAATCGACAAGACACTAGTGTTCTTGTCGCGCCTACAGTGCGCGTCAATTGCTTAAAGGAATCTTCCACGGAAAGAGTGATCATTTTGTCTTGTGTGTAGGATTAGTATTATCGAAACTAACGCTTATGTTCCGTTCTTTTTGCTATGCTCATGAGGCTAGGGGCCTAAGGGGTATCGTTTTTCTGTGGTAATGGAGGCGGAGCTTTTTCCGCGGAAGATTCCTTTAGCCACACCCTGGTTTTTCAGTTTTCTGACTTGATTTGGAATTTCGTAAATCGGCACAGCAACCATCGTTTTCGGCGTGTCGGAAAACTAAGAATGGTGTTGTTTGATTTTGGTTAACGCGTGGATTTGAATTGCTCTGTTCTTTTGAAGAAAATGGGCCGCGTCAATTGCTTATGCCATCCTAAAGTTTCTTCAGAATTTCTCATTTCTCTAACGCTATTCAGCTACGGTGTGCATGTGATATTAATGAGGAAGTCTTCTACTTGTGTGATGCATTTAACCCTTTGACTACTGGTGGGACACATGTGTCCCACTTCGTAGTCAAAGACACTACCACAGTTCCAGGGAATATTGAGGCAGGAGCGCTCATTTGATGGCTGAATTGTGCACATATAGAAGCTTTCTAATTCTTACTATGACAATTAATCGTCAGAAGCTAAAGCGAGTCATCCTGCGTAAGTTAATCTTTGACTACTGGTGGTACACATGTGTCCCACTTCGTAGTCAAAGACACTACCACAGTTCCAGGGAATATTGAGGCAGGAGGGCTCATTTGATGGCTGAATTGTGCACATATAGAAGCTTTCTAATTCTTACTATGACAGTTAATCGTCAGAAGCTAAAGCGAGTCATCCTGCGTAAGTTAATCTTTGACTACTGGTGGTACACATGTGTCCCACTTCGTAGTCAAAGTCACTACCACAGTTTTGGCACTTATTGAGATCGGAGGGCCGCTTTATGGCGGAATTGTGCACAACTAGAAAAAGTTGATATTCAAGTTATTCCAC